ATTCCCCCCGGATGCTATTTTTAACTAAAAAAAGCCGGACATGTCCGGGGGAATCCGGACGAATGGTAACCCTACTTCTCATCCTATATATACCTTAATGATCATGGATGGAATCCTGGTCCCAGTGAAGTCAGTGGCAAAACTCCCATAGGCTTCAATGGGGCCAGGCTTTCACCCCATGTCTTTGCAACCATTAAACTAAGTGAAAGCCATTTGGCACTGAATATTGAATGTGTGGCAATACCAAATGACTTGTCAGGTTTCAAAAAGCTAGAGAAGATGGAACACTTTCTTGTGTTGTTTTATTTCCATGGGATAGTGCCTCCAAATCTAGAGTTATACACAAACCTTCCAGAATTTATTCTGCCAGAATTTTGCCTTTGATCTGATTATGTATAATTGACAATGGGATTACCCGATGGACACTATACTGGACACTATAGAAATGCTAAAGGTGGACAAAATTGTAAAAATTATGAGCTGACCACTTTTGGATGCTTTATTGGCCAAGAGGTTTTCAGCAAGGAGGTGATCTAGCCAATTGCACAGAGGAGTGTAAACTGGGAGTTACACATGCAAAAAGGGAGTCTTTTTCCAGACAACATAACCTTGAAAATGAATGAACACTTCACCTGGTCTCTAGTGACAAGGCAGGAGCCACAGTTCGTATGCAGCGCGTAGGAAGCAGCTGGTTTGGTAATGTAGGGGCCTGATCCTGCACCGATTATTCGGGCAAAACTCCCACTGAAGTCAGTGGGAATTTTGGATGAATGAACACAGCAGGATTGGGCCCATCACGTAGAAAGGCTATCTTCACACCCTTCTGAAGCCTGACAATGTAAGCAGGAGATAAGGTCTGCATTCCTTTCCACTGATGTCATTGAGCCCTCTATCTCTCCCTAACCCAATGGGAGAGACAGCCGTATTGAAAAGACAAACATTTGTGCAGGAGATGACTAAGAATTTCCCAAATTATGTTTTGCATTTAAAAACCAATCAGTGTAATTTGTTCATCTCAACCAGATTTTTTTTCTCCCTTTCCTAGTACTTTGTGTTTCGCACACCCTGTGCATGTACCAGAAGAAGATCTAACTGTGCAACAATATACCCCAGGGGTGCGGCGGGGGAGGGAGGGGAGAAACATTAACTGAAAGACTGGTGGGGATTCTCTCTTGAATTATTCACGTAGGGTGAAATACATCCAAGTGTGGGGGCCATTGTAAAGCCCTCCAAGGCACTTATATCCCATGTATGGCTGCACAGAAGAGAATTGCTGAATGGGAACTACCTAATAATTCCAAAAAAGCTGGCAAGGAGAGGCCACTGGTAGTGAGTCAAAGGAGGGTTCAGGGACCTATGTGGCTCCAGTGGCTAGGAATATCTAAGCAGATGTAAAAGAAACCATAAAACCTGGCTCTGAGGGTTCGGAGACTGTGGAGTTCAATGGACCCCCACCCAGTGCTTAATTTGTAATGAAAAAAGGTGCCAGGGCTCAAGCAATTAGGTGATGGGGCTCAAGAAATTTTTTTAAATTCATAACTGATGGCATAGGTGCCAACTTTGTGGATGTGCCAGGGCTGGAGCACCCACGGGGAAAAATTGGTGGGTGCTGTGCACCACCCCGCCTCCTGCCCCAGCTCACCTCCGCCTCCTCCCCTGAGTGCACCTTCCCTGCTTCTCCTCCCAGCGCTTGCTACCACAAAACAGCTGTTTTGCAGCATAACAAGCTGTAGGAGGGACGGGGGAGGCGTGGGAACACGGCACGCTCAGGGGAGGAGACGGGGAAGATGCGGGATGGGGATTTGGGGAAGGAGTCCAATGGGGCAGGGAAGGGGCAGAGTTGGGATGGGGACTTTGGGGAAGGGGTTGG